AACGCAAGAAGTACGTCTTTGTGTATCAAGCTTTTGCAAGATGAGAACGGTTTCAGAGGAAAGGGATGAAGCTGAGGATGCAGCTGATGTGGGGGATGAAGCTGATGTGGGGGATGAAGCTGATGTGGGGGATGAAGATCAGGAGGGGGATGTAGCTGAGGATTATGATAGGGAGGAGGATGCTGACATCCCTGTTGTCCCTGAAGATTTTTATGATCCTGAGGATTACAGTCAAATTGGAAAGATTAAAGACAAGGATGAGGAAGAAGATGATGAAATTTGTTTTGAAGATTACGGAGAGGCATATGGCTGTGAGGGAAAAGGATCATCTGCAGAAAGAATCTATGTAAACCAGAGTTTTACTAGCAAGGATGCACTGCTTTCATAGTTGCGGCTGAGCGCGGTGAGGCGCAGGTTCTCCTTCAGAATTTACAAGTCAACAAAAACTCTCTTTGTGGCAACATGTCGGGTTAGTGGTTCTCAATGGAAGATCAGAGCAAGTGTGAAACATGGGACTAAGACGTTTTGGGTAACCAAGTATTTGAAAACTCATACATGTTCCACCGGAGACAGAATCGCTGGGCGGAAACACTCTACTCTGAAGTACATTAGTCGACTCTTCATAGATCGTGTTGGAATCATTGATGGGTTGAATCCGCAGCATATCAAAGATGCAATGACGAACATGTTTGGCATGACACTTGATTACACCACTTCATACAGAGCATTGTTATATGCGCAAGAATTGGTGAGAGGATCCGCGGAAGATGGGTATGAGCGACTTCCTTCATATTTGGAGCAAATCAAGGCAACAAATCCGGGTTCTATCACTGCTATAGAATATGATTTTGAGAAAAGATTTAAGTATCTTTTTCTCGCTTTTGGAGCTTCTATCAGAGGTTTTAAGTATCAGAGAAGGGTCATTGTGGTGGATGGGACTCACCTAAGTGGAAAGTATGAGGGTACTATGTTGGTTGCAGCCGCACAAGATGGTAATTTTCAGATATATCCATTGGCTTTTGGGATCGTAGATTCTGAAAATGATGAATCTTGGGAATGGTTTTCCACAAATTTGGCGAGTTGTGTATATGCTGAGCATCCTCTGGTGATAGTCTCTGACAGGCACACAAGCATTATAAGTGCATGTGAGAAGGTGTTTCCTTGGGCAACACGAGGAATATGCTATTATCACCTTCAAGAGAATATTGTCAAAAAGTATAAAGGGAAGCATCTTTTTTACTTGGTGAAAGGTGCTGTTTATGCTCATACACTTTACGACTTTGATCGGTACATGGCTGAGATACATAGTGCAAATCCGGATCTTCATGAGTATCTGGTGGATGCCGATGTGAGCCTATGGTCAAGGGTTCATTTTCACGGAGACAGGTACAACTTAAAAACGAGCAATATCGCTGAATCAATTAATTCCGCACTGAAGCGAGCAAGAGGGTTTCCT